GGAGCGAGCAGCCTGAGGCAGAACATCCCTGACCCGCACGACTATCGAGCGGCCTCCTCTCTGGCCCGAATCCGCTTGGCCAGTGCACGCAATCGATCGTTGTCGACGAGTCGCGCACTTCCTGGGAGGAGGACGCCCCACCTGTGTGCCCACAGGTGGGGCGGCAGGCGCCAGGCCGGGGCGGCGAGCAGCGGGCGGCGCGAGGGCCGGCGGGGCGCAGGAGCACCGAGCAGGTGCGAGAAAAGGGTGCGCCGTGCGCCTCCCGGCGGGCGGGGGGGCAGCGGAAGGGGGAAGGCCGCCGCCTCTGGCGGGGATGGCGCCGCACCGAGCAGGTGCAGTGCGGTGCAGCAAGACAGGGAGGGCATACACCTTAGGCGATGCTTAAGAAAACTTAAATTTTCGGCCAGAGTCTCGATTATTCTTCATGTTTCAATGTAAATCCTAAGATCTGAATGGAAATTGTGGGTTTTTATTCAAGTTCTGAGACTATGAATTTCTTAACCCATGATTTCTTAAGCATTTCGCAGGGTGTAGGCCCCGGAGGCGGGATGGATGCCTGCGCGCAGGGGGGGGGCGGCCGCAGGGGGAGGCGGCGGGCCCCGGCGGAGCGGGCGGCGGCGGCGGCCTCCGTGTGCGGGCGGACAGGGCCGCCGGCCAGGGGAGAGGCCGCCGGCCTGCCGCAGCGGAGGCCATGGCGGCAGGCGTGCTTCGGGGAACAAAGAGTGACATAAACATCGGGGGCGGAAAAAAGGGGGTTGATGACTAGGGGGGGGTGGATATCATGGCGGGGGCCATGGGATTTCCCCAGATTTCAGGGCGCCTCTTCTCGTTTCATTGCGTCCCTGGCCCCCCCGCTGGGCCGCGCACATGCCGCCGGTCATGATTTGCACCCCCCCTCTTGGACACCCCCCTCTTGGCCGCTCCCGAAAACATAAAAGCTCGGAGGTCCGCGCCGATTTCTCGGGTCGGCGCTGGACCCCCTTCCCTGGCGCGCTGAGCGCGCCAGGGGCGGCGCCGGAGGCGCCGCCGGGGGGCCCCAGCGCCGATGCGAGAAGTCCGCGCGGACCTCCGAGTTTTTTTTGGTTTTTTGTGCCACATTTTGTTCCCCTAGTGTTGAGCAAAAGAGAAGCCTGCGTCCCATCCCACAGCGTGGGGGCAGGCTGGCTGGCGGCGGGCGGGGCAAGCGCAGGGGGGGGCCGGACGGCGGGCGAGGGCGAAGCGAGGACTCAGATGAGGGCCAAGTGCGGAAGCGGGCGGCAGGCGGCGAGCTCGGAGATGTCGCAGCCAGATGTCTGGGGCATCAAGGCGCCTGGTAGATACAGGCGCAGAGGTGTGGCTTCCAGCTGAGGCAGGGAAGGTGTTGTGCGGTTGCGGGTCTGCGCGTGCCCTTCCTTGGGGGGTGTTCTGCGCATGCCTGTGGGGCACACCCGCGCGGCAAAGGGCAGGGCTAATTAGGGGCGGTGAGGGTGGCGACTCGGAAGGCGCTGCCAGGACTGCTCGTTGCTGGGCCAGGTGGGGTCAGCGCGTCGCTTGCCTTTCCCTGCCGGGGCTGGGGCCTTGCGTCTCCCCTTTTGCCCCTGCCAGCTATGGCTGCCCCATCCTCTCGGCGTGCGCGTCCAACGCTGCGTGCCAGCTGCTGCGGAGCCTGCGTGCGCAGCACAGTCGTCGGGTGTCGACCGGGAGCCCACAGGGAACGCTGCTTGGTGTCGTGCCCGGTGCCGTGCCGACCGTGCCGCGTGCCGTGCCGAGTGCCGTGCGGGTTGCCGCCCGCGTCCGCGTGGCAGCGTCCCGAGCACTGGCGGCCTTCGTAGCCCAATCAGGCTGGGCGCAGCTTGCCAGATGCTTGGCCGCACGCGACCAGAACGTCACCCTGCAGTCCAGTCGGGTTTGCTGCGCCCAGCCTGGCGGGCGCTCAGCGTCGCGCTAGCCCGGGGGGGGGGCGAGGAGCGGGGAGCGTGGCTTGGGGCGGCGGGCCATTTTCGAGGGCCGTCGCCTGGCGATGACATGGCCCGTCCCGTCGTCCGCGGCACTTCGCCTCCTCCCAGGGTGTCCCGAGGCGCACTCCTGGCCACGAGACGCGGTCACGGGGGGGGGGGGCCCTCGAGGTTGAAGCCGTGGTGTTCCGAAGTGCCCCCTGGGCCGCGAGACGTGGTCACAGGGAGGGGGCCCGAGGCGCTCGAGGTTGAAGCCGTGGTGTCCCGAGGTGCCCCCCGCGGCTGCGAGACGCGGTCAAGTGGAGGTGCCCGGGGGTCCCTCAGGGTTGAAGCCGCGGTGTCTTGGACGCCCCCGCGGCCGCGGGACGCGGTCAAGAGGGGAACGTCCGGGGAGTTCGGTCTTGTGGTGCCCTCCCACCACGTGTGTTATATCGTCTGCATCCCTGCAGCCAAATGCATGGACCGCTCAATCAATATACGGCTGCGTCGTTGTCTCGCCCAGGTCCAGGGGGAGTCTGAAAAAAGGTGCCCACTGGCCCCAAACAAAGTTGGACGGGCCCGCATCGATCCCCTTCGGGTTTGAAGACTTGAGCCGCGAACGATCTACAGCGTTGAGTCATACGCTGCCTGAGCCATCTCATCAATGATTGCCTAAGCCATTGCTCTAACACATTCCTGCCGTCCTCCCAACTCGCCTCAGCCGTCGAGCGCAGTCCAAGCACCATGACACCTGATCCGAAGCTTCAGTAAACCTGACTTCCCGCAACGATAAGCCTGCATCATCACGCCTGCATCCTCGCCTCGTCACATCCGCACTATTTTATCCGCGCGCCTGAGACAATCTAGCACCTGACGCCTGCGTCACTGCATCTTCGAGCCTGGACCCCTTCTAGTGCTCCAGGAACGCCCCCGCCTGGACATTGGGGCCTCAAGGGTGGCCCTGGGCTCTGCAGGCACGCGCAACGCCGTCTGAGAGTACGGTAGGACGCGTCAGAACGCTCCAATGTTTCCCTAGTCCCCAGACCACCCACTGTGCCAAGATGGTCGAGGAGGGCCCCAGTTGCTCCAAAGTGATGCAACACCCGCCGCAGAAAGAGCCACAAGAGGACTCCCAGCTGGCCAAATTCGGCTATACACCCACGGACTGTTTGGGTGCCTCTTTGGGATTCGCAGTTTGTCGGTCGACGATTATTCCGACGGGGCTTCGGACAGGCGACACCGTGAATCCCTGCCTGCCCAACGAGAGCCCAAGAGGGTCCTAGCTGTTCCCCAGGTGCCACCCACCGGGCCGCTTGAGAACCACCACGCGTTGTCCAGTTTTCCCAATTCAGACAGAGACCCAAGGAATGCTGTTCCAACGTTTTCTTCAGTTGCTGCCCGCGGGTCCACGAGAGCCCCACGAGGGCCTATTAAGTCCTCCGTCCCTCCTCTTTACCCCATCCTTCCTCGACCCTACCACGTCAAAATTCCTTCTTCCCATCTGCTTCTCATTCGTCGTCCCCTTTCTCGACTCCTCTCGCATCCCTGCTGCAACCTGTGTTCTCGCGTCTCCCTCCCCCTTCCCTCCTTTTTCTTTCCCCTCTCTAGCCCGTCCCAGGTGTGGTGGACGTGCTGGCACCTACGACCTCCAGCCCAGGGCCCCAGGGTTCTTCATCGGATTCCCCGTCCCTGCGCTGTCCGAACTCACGTTCCCTGGACTGTCCAGGTCGTCGTTTTTTTTGTTGCGCTGCATCGCAGTGCATGGCTGTGCATTGTATGTGTGCTGCGTGGTGGTGCTTCGCGACGTGGTGCTTTACATTGTTCTGGCTTGCCTGGGCTTGCACTGCGTTGCATTACCTTGCCATTATTGTGCTCACTGTTTCCTGTAACGCGCTGCGTGCATTTGCGTTGCGATGGGTTGTCAGTGCGCCCGCTCGTGGCCATGCTACTTGCATTTCGTTGCCGCTGCACGTTTTTGACTTCATTTCGGACCGTCGCACTGTTTTGCATTGCGTCGCTTTGAAGGCGCCTAGGTGTACCTTTGCCGGTAATGTGTAGATGCTCGGTCTGCCTTCGTGCTGCTGGTGGCAACTTATGTTTGGATGTGTGCGTATACGCGTGCAGCTGTGAGCTTGTCAAGAGCAGGTGGTTCCTAGAACCCGAGTGCGCGCGACGCACGCGTGGTTCTAGCGCGTGTATTCATAAGTATGGATGTACGCACACATGTGCGATCGACGAGAAGCAATCACTATATGACGACTGTCTAGTACGAATGCTGGATTTTCTGGTTGTGTATGGTCCCGCTTGAAGTGATTAGCATCTTCCCCCATGTACACGTTCAAAACGGCATTGATTACGAGAGAGTGGCACTGCCAATCCCTACACCAACGGCTTCCTGAGTCCAGCGGCTCCAGGAATGATTTTCAACACGGCTGTTGAGTTTGTGCAGGGTCCGAGAGGAGTGATGCCGTAGAACATATGGGATGCAGCGTCCTTGTAGTACCCTGCAACCGAGTTCCGACCCGGAGGCGTGACGTGGTCTTATTCCGGGTGTTCTTAGTCATCCTCCTCGCGCCCCTGTCTTCATCGCCCCGCTCCCCGGCCCGATTCCCACCCCAGTCTTGCTGTTGGTCGATCCCCTTCCCCTGCTCGGCTTCCTCTCGCTCAAGGTCCTTCCCCTCCCCCGCCCGAATCCCCCCGCTTCCCCTTCTCACGGTTGCGCGCCGCCCAGGCGTCGGCGGTGGCTAACGCCTCACCCTCCTCTCTCCTTGTCCCTTTTCCCGCACGCTGCGCTGCGCAAGCGCTCCAATTGCTCCCCTTCCCCGTTCTCCTCGCCCCGCTCGTCCGCGTCGCCCCCCCCGCCTTCGCCGTCGTCAGCGTCTGCGTCGCCCTCCGCCTTCGCAGTGGTCGTCGTCGCCGTCGTCGTCGTCGCTGTCGCCATCCCCGTCGCCGTCGCCGTCGCTAACGCCGTCTCCGTCGACGTCGCCGTCGCCGTCGTCGTCGCCGTCGCCGTCCCCTTATTTCTAGGTTTGGCTTCGATCGGGGCGATACCTCTCTGGCCCGCGGCACCGGCAGCGGCAGCGGGCGATGCCCGCCGCGGCTAAGAGCTGCGAGGCATTAGGTTTTCTCCCGCTCCTACGCCCCCTCCTGGCAATCGTACGGTTTGCGGGCATTGGTCAAAGAATGTGCCCAGAGGGGGAGGCTAGGTTCATGGAGGGTTCGAGGTTCGATGTTTCCGGGTGTTTTCGTCGAGACTGGTTTTCCGGGTGTTTTCCGAGCTCGTTGGCTTCCCAGCCGCAGGGTGCTTTCCAGCAGCTACGCCTCGCCGAGAGCGTTCCCGGGGTGCTCGGATCGTCGCGAACGGTCGCCGAAGGCCCGGGTTATGGCCCGAAAACCATCGGGGACGGTCGGGGCGTGCGTTGAGGAATTTGCTTAGGAGGCTTCCGACCTTGGGGGGTCCTGAGATGACGGTGGTGGCGATGATCTCGATGGCCAGTCACGAACCTAGAGTTCCACGGGTTTCCAGACGCTCAGACGCTGGGTTCCTCATCCAACTGCTCCTTGTTCAATGCCCTCCACGTCCGTAGCCACTTTGGCTGAGCCGTTCCTCTCTGTCCGCTCTCGTTTTGGGCCCCGCGGGAGGTCGCAGGAACGCAGCAGCTTGGGAGACGGCTGCGGTCGGTGGCCGAGTCGCCCCCGCGGCGGCCGATGCCGCCCCGGCAGGCTGGAGAGCCCTCGGCGCCTCCCTGGCTGGCGCGCAGGGGTCCGCAGGGCCGCCGCGCCGCGCTGCGGTCGAGGGGAGACTGGCCGCTGCTCTGCGGAGAGCCGCTCTTCTCGACAGCGAGCTGGCCGCGCGGGAGGCCAGCCATGTGGCGGCGGTGGCGCAGGCTCTGCAGCTGTCCCGTGGCCGCGGGGCCCGCGACCCCCAGCCCGACGTGCAGCTGCTCGGAGAGAGCACGGCGCGGGTGGCGTTGGCAGTCCCCGTGCTCTTGGAGGTGTTCGCGGGCCCGCAGCGCGCGCGGCCCCCCTCCTCTGAACCCCCCCGCTGCTCGCGATGGATGGGCTATGGGGGTGCGGCACGGCGACGCGGCGCTGGCGGCAGCAGCCAGCCGTGGCCATCGGCAAGAGCGCTGACGCCGCCGCAAACGTGAACGCGCAGAGCGGCGAGCAGACGGGCGGGGGCGGGCGTACTCGGGTGCCTCGAAATAGCTTCGCTGCGCACCAGAGGAGAGCTGCGGCCCCGCCCCCCCTGCTCCGCTCTCGGCGCAACGCGGGGCTCCACCGTGCCGCGAGGAGGGCCGCGAGCATCGCAGCGAGCGGCCCGGGCGCCAGGCCGCTGCCGCGACGCGAGGCGGGCCGTCCTCGCCCCGCCGAGGCAGCACCGCCGCACAGCAGCCGAGGCGGCTCCTGGAGCCTGGGAGGTGGGATGGTGCCCGCTGGAGCCAGGTTCGCCTCGGCGGGAGCGGGTCCGAGGTACGGGGCCCGCTCCCGCGCCCTCCCCTGGGCGCGGCCCCATGTGGAGGACCTCCGGCCTGGAGCCGGGGGGGAGGGGCCTGTCCCCGCGGGCCTCTGGCAAAGGCCCGCCTGTCGTCGTGGAGGCCCAGGCCACAGGCGACGACAGCCAGTAGGCGGATGAGGTCGCGGTGCGGGTGCAGTTCGTCGGCGGCGGCCTCGACGAGGTCGGCGCCCAGGACGACCGCGAGAGCGTCGGCGCGCAGGCGACCGTGGGCGTGCATCTCGAGAATGAAGAGGGCGAGGAGATCGTGATGCAGGAGCAGTCCGTTGACGGCGGCCTCGACGAGGTTGGCACCCATGGCGACCTCGAGAGCGTCGGCGTCCAGGCGACCGTGGGCGTGCATCTCGAAAAGGACGAGTACGTGTTGATCCAGGAGCGGTTCGATGGCGGCGGCCTTGACCAAATCGGCAGTCAGGTTGACTTCGAGAGTGTCGGCGTGCAGGCGAACGTCGGTATTCATCTCGTGGACACCAGCGAGCAGGCGGCCCAGACAGGGAGGGCCCGCCCTATCGGCCGCCTGCGGCGTCTCCAAAGGCAGGTGGTGGCGGGGGCCCGTTCGCTCACCATGGACCGCGATCTCTGGAGACCGGAATGGCAGTGCGACGACTTTTCAGCACCAGCAGTCGTTCCACCGACGGAGCGTGAGCTGGTGCTGGGGAGGAGGTAGTTGAGAGAGCAGTGGGGCCCAGGCTCCCATTGGGACGTCTGGAGCAAACGGATGGGGCGGGGCTTCCGTGTGGCCATGAAAGCTTTCTGAGTGTGAAGGCGGAGTCGTTGAGCCTCGGTCGTGGTGGTGCTGTGGTGGACCACCCGCAGCCCAGTCCCCAGCTTGCCGTGGGTAGCGCGTTGCACCGCAGAGGTGCTGTCGCCCGATCTGCCCGCCTCATTTTTTCTCGTGTGCGTGTGTACCTGCTGGTGCTATGGTAAACCATCCGCGTAACCTGGTGGCGCGGAGGTTAACCACCCATCGGGCGGCGAGGGCCGCCCGGAGTCCGCAGGTGGACCCCTCGCCCACGGGGCTGAGTGGTGGCCAAGGCTTTTGGCTTTTGGCTCCCCTGGGGTCCCTCCTGGCCGTCGTGCGCGTGCGGCGGCCTCTTGAGTTCAAGTTGCCAACAAGCCGCAGGGCCCGACGTGAAACGAATGCAACGTAACCGTCATCCTCACTGCCTTTCTCCCTGTCGACGGCCTATAGGCTCTGAGGAGTGTTGGCGCACGGCGCGGGTTGGCCGCGATCCCGTGGGGCACAGCCATTTGCGGGCAGCTGGAACTGATAGCTCCTACTCTCCTCCTCCCTCCTTGCTTCCTCCCCCATCATCCCAATGCCCCTCCTCCTTCCCTTTCCCCGGCCCTCCCCCTTTTTTTTCCCTCCCCCTCCCCGCTGCTGCTCCTCCACCTGCTCGTTATCCTCCCTCTCCTCCTCCTCCTCCTGCTCCTCCTCCTCCTCCTCCTTCTGCTCCCTTCGCCCCCCGTCACAATGCTGTGTCTCTCGGCGGTGAGGGGGGGGGGCCGTCGCAGGTGATGCTCATATCGTCGGGCGAGACGTGCGGGAGCTCGCAGAGCGACCTCTGGATCGGGAGGGGGGGTGGAGAGAAGTGGGAGGGAGGGTGCGGGAGGAGGCTCCTCCTCGTCCTCCTGCCCCTCCTCCGTTCCCTTGGCGGGCGGCGGCGGCCACGAGCGGACAGGACACGAGGTCGGAGCACGAGCGCACACATTCGCACACCCACTCGTACACGCCTACACGCACACGGGACTCTCGCCCTGCCGCAGGCGCCGCGGGGGCCCCCGAGGACGACGACTGAACCGGGCTCCTTAGCTGCGCTGCTGCACGGATACCCCGAACCAGCGAAGTCAGCGACGACCACGACTTCGTCTGCTGGGCGCCCAATGGTGCGCTCTGTACGTCGCCGCGCTGATCGGCCTGAGGAGCCCGTTCGTCAGCATGGGCCACCTCCTCCACCACAGGGGGGGCGCCGTCGACCCGGCGGCCGTGTCACGAGGTCACATGCGCCTTCTGGTGACATTCTGCCGACGAGCGCGCGCAACGCCTGCGTGGGAAGTCCGAGCGGGCCTCGATGCAACGCCTGCGCCGCAAACTCATCATATCATATATGCTGCTATTGGTGCATATGCGTGTGATGCGTGTTAAGATACCGTTTTAATGTTATGTGCATATTGCTGATATGTTGGGTTATGTGCACACGATCGTATGATATATCGATTTTGCGTTACGGGCATGCTGCTGTTTTGGTGTATCTTACATCTTACAAGTGCTGCGCAACGCACCTTCGGACATGTCGCGTACTTGCCGCTCAGGGTCTGGGGGAGGGAGGGCTAGATGGGGCAGACAGGATTAAATCGGATACTAGACGAAATCGCGCGAAACAAATCAATGATGATGACGACGACGATGCTGATGATGCTGATGATGCTGCTGATGCTGCTGATGATGATGCGGATGCTGATGATCATGATGCTGATGATGCTGATGATGACGGTGATGATGCTGCTGATGATGATGCTGATGATGATGATGATGATGACGATGATGATGGCAATGTGTTCCATTTCAGCAGGAGGTCCTTGGAGCAACGGCGTTAGCAGAGGAGTTTCTTGGCGGATTTGCATCGCCACCGCACTGCGGCGAAAACCCCGTTGGATCCTGGAGTTTGGAGTCTGGAGTCGTCGTCGTCGTCGTCGCCGCCGTCGTCGTCGTCGTCGTCGTCGTCGTCGTCGTCGTCCGTTTCTCGTCCTCGACGCTGTCATCTTGCTTCAGTCGGGAAGCAGAGGGGGCCACGGGCTTGAATTACGGGACTGCCTGACAGTAAACCGCAGATTTTTGTGCAGTCTTCTCAAGGAGCCACAACCTGCACGTTGCTGCGCCCACAGCCGCAGCGCTGCCGAGAAACCGAGGCAAGAACATCAAAAGGCCCGCACCTGTACGTGGGGCGTCGACGCATTACTCTCCAGCGAACGCCAGCGAAGTCGAGACTTCCTGCTTCTTGGAAGGCCTGGCCGAGCCATCCAAACCGACCACGCCGTCATCAAGGCCCAACCGTTCCCTCCGCAGGGGCAACGAGGTGGGATCCATGCCCTCAGTCTGGCAGATGAGCGGCATATTGCACTTGAACATGACGCTCTGGCCGCTCACCGTGAGGACGAACCTCCGCGGCGAGTACGTGATGCGATGAGTCGCCGTCTCTGGCGGCACGGGCGGCTTCGGCTTGGCCGCCGCACCTTTTGGCTTTGGCCTTGGCCTTCGCCTTGGGGGCGACAGGCAACTTCGTAGGCTCGACCATGCAGGCGTAGCAGCTCTCGGACTTACCACACACGACCGGGCCCAGCGGCGTGAGGTAGAGATCCACCCCGTGGCACTCGCCGAGGTGGACCAGATCGCCTGCATTGATGTTCACGGCCACCTCGCGCGGCACCACGCGCCCCCACAAGTCGAACCTGGTCAGGGCGGCGGTCTTCTGGAATATGTCGGCGACCTTCACGACGCCCGCCTCATCCGAGACAAGAGTCAGGTAGGCGTCGCCAAGGTGGGACAAGTGCATCCTAGAGATGGGCGCTCGCAAGAAAACGCTGCCGAGCATGTTGCACAGCAGCTCCTTGACCAGGGAGCAGCCTGAGGAGTCGCACCTGGCGCCCCCGTCCACGACGGCTGGCGGCGCAACCGCAGGAATCGGAACCCGGGTCAGCGAGGAGCCGTCAACGTTGCCGTCGGCGATCGGGGCCTTGGCGGCAGTGGCGATAGGTTTGACCTCGTCCCGCCCTGCGGTTCGCATCCACCACCGAAACTGCTGGCTCGGCGTCGGCCTCCGCATCGCCACAGATCTCCTGCCTGCCACGCTTCCTCGAGGGAGAGGTGGCGATCTTCTTCGGCGCGATGGACTCGCGAAGGCGACCGACAAGTGCCGCCATCGAGCTGTCGGTGCCCGCTGCAATTTCCCATGCACGCGTCTCGCTGTTGTCCTCGAGCTTGAACTGGTCGATCAGCTTCTTCTTCACGGATGTCCGCTCGGCTGGGAAGATTGACCGGTTAGGGTATTGAACCTTCTTGGTGCCACACGCGGCGTGAACCATGGTGTTGGCCTGTGGGCGCGCAGACAACATTATAAGAGGTGGCGAAAACAAGCAAAGTTCCAAGAGGAAAACACACACACACACACTTAGTTTCACTCGATTGCGTTAACGCGCGCGCACGCGCATGCACCTACATACATACACGTACTAATCCGTATCTGTACGACTGATCGGGGATTCGATCTTTCATTGCATAATCGCGAACGTGTCTGACGGTATTCGGCGGAGTATTGAGATGCTTGTTTTTCCTCTCTTTCTTGTTTCCCTATATATCTCTCTCTCGAAACATATATCCATCCGTGTTCGTGTTGGCTCAAGAGGCTCGGCCCAACCCGCTGAGTCACGACATTCAGTTCTATGCGTACGTGTTTTGTGTAATACAGTCGCCTGCCCTTGCCATAATGATGGCGAACGCACCGCATGATTGTTTCATCATCACGCTCGCTTTCTGGCTTTACTCAGCTAACGCAGCCCGCGTGTCCGAGTTCGATGAGAGGGGCCCCCCTTTCGACATGAGTGCGTCCGCGCGGTCGCCGGTTGTTTCGCTGATTCGGAAGTCCTCTGGCCTGCCGTACAACAGCGGACCCCCCATCGATTTCGCACGGTTGCAGCAGGAGGGCTTGCACCTTCCGCCCACTCCTCTGCCTGAAGCCGCCTTGGCGGCAGAGGACACTGCTGGTGACGCCGTCTTGGGGGCCACAGGACGTGGGGAATCGGGGTGGGCGCAAGAGAGCTTGGCTACACGTTTGGGTAGCGACGAACTTTGGATGCCTGACCCAGCCTGGCCCCAAGAGCAGTCGTCATTGCCGAGCCTGCAACCGTCGCGTGCACCTACGTCGCGGATTCCGCATGTGATCTTGCAGACTATGGAGAATTGGGCTGGTGTGACTGGTCTCCCTTCCTTGAGCTCCTCGGTGACTCAGCTCCGCAAGATCGCTGCAGCTGCGGGTTGGCAGTATCGTTTTTTCAATGCTTCCGCAAGGGAAGAGCTGGTTCCGAAGTGCCCCTTGCTGAGCCGCATGGGTCTCGTTATCGAAGCCTACCTACTCGGCGGAAGAGGAGGAAGGAGCTCAGGAAGAGGCGGAAGCAGAAGAGAGTCCTGACGTCGTGGAGACCGTACTCACTCAGGAGCAGATGAAGATGGTAGAGAAGGCGCACATCAATCTAGGTCACCCCACCAAACGAGACCTCTTTCGCATCATGCGCAGTGCCCATGCGCGTCCAGAGGTTCTGCAATACATTCAGAAGCACTTCGACTGTCAGGCTTGTGCGAGTGCAGCGCGTTCTATACCACAGAGCAGGACATGTGCGCCACGTGCGTACGCATTCAACAAAATCATCGGGACCGACTTGTTTTACGTGACCTATCGTCAACAGATCTACACGTTCCTCAATGCAGTGTGTCTAGGAACGTCGCTACAGTGGACGGGTCTCGTGGGTATTGGTCGCTGCTCTCCACCAGGGTTGGTCTGGCAGGTCCTTGCAAAGTGGTGGCTGCGCCACTATGGACCCCCAGAGGTGATAATTTCCGACGGAGGTGCAGAATTTGAGGCAGAGTTTAACCGCTTCGCGGAACAGGCCGGCTCCTTTCACCATGTGACGGATGCAGAGAGTCTTTGGCAGAATGGCAAGACGGAGCGTGCCAGCCAATGGCTCAAGGAGCGTCTTCAGCGCATTGTCGAAGAGGTGTTGCTGGACAGCCCGAGCGACCTGGAACAGGCCGCTTGTGAACTCACTGCTTGGCGCAATCGGCTTCTCAACAGAGGAGGCTACTCTCCGCTGCAATTGGTATTCGGTCAGAATCCCAGATTGCCCCGCGAGCTATTGTCGGAGGACCCGCTAGACCACATCGGTCTGCACGATCTTTCCGAGGCAAGTGGTGATATGGACAGTGCAGCTGCCACTTTTCGTCATCAGCACGCCATCCGCACCAGGGCCAGGGAACTAGCCATGGAAGGGGACGCCCGCAGCAAGCTCAGTCTCGCTCTTCGTTCTGAACGGCATCGCGACCGTACCTATCAGCCAGGAGATTGGGTAGATGTTTGGCGCAGGGCTCCCTCATCAGGTAAGAAGCCTTTTGGGCTTCAGCGAGACAGATGGGCGGGACTTGGGTCCGTCATCTATCATCGCAACACTACAGTATGGGTTGGGATGAGGAGCAAACTCTGGAAGTGCAGCAGTGAACAAATACGACCTCCTACGCAGTCAGAGTCCTTGGGAGCTGAACTGGTGCAGTCTTCGGCGTATCGCTCGGTGCTCTCCAAGGGGTTCGGCAAGGGGATCACAGGTAGTGCCGTCGACGTGTCTCAAGAAGGTCCCCCTTCTCCTGGAGCTCTCGGGGAACCTCTAGCAGATGCTCAGGGAGGTCTTCAGTCGGGTCCTGAAGTTGCAGAAGGCGCTCCAGAGGCATCCAGAGGACTTCCTGAAGCTACGGGGTCTGAGTCTCCTTCAACTCTTGGGCTGGGACCCCGGGAACCCATGGCCGAATCCCGTCCTCGAGAGGGCTCAGACATGGCAGAGTTCACCAGGAGCGCGGTACCCAGGACGTCCTCACCTACCTCATCCGTAGCCAACTCTAGCTCAGCAGCTGCAGCAGATCTGCCAGCAGCAGGCTCTCAGCCGGCTGCTGCCCGACCCTCGGGTGGACGACGTCTCGTTTGGGCTCCCGGACCAGTGTCGAGACTTATCTCCGTGCCCGAGGGGGGCGTCATATCTCAGCGAGCAACGCTACCTGACCCGGCCGCCACAGCAGCGCCTGTGGCATCGTCTCCGGCCAGCAGCGCGGGAGCAGACTGGTCTCGCCAGAGTTCAGAGCCAGCCGCCGAGCCAGTGCCTCCAGGAAACTCAGACGGATCCTCTCGCAAGGCCTCGGAGATTTCGCCAGCGCCTTCCGACGCCGGCAGTCTGGATTCCGAGGCGAAGCGTCTCAGGTTGGAGCGAGACAGTTGGGCACCAGGCTCGGCGAGTCAAACCCCGAGTGCGCCCATGTCGCTTGAACCAGTCGTTCGACCAGAGGACTTCAGCTCAGGTTCTCGTGGACCTTTGTCATCTGAGCAGTTTCGCAGTGCAGCTCTGCCCACTCCGGTCGAGCTCTTGCCACATGCCTCGGGGCAGGCTCAACGACACATCGAGGAGCGGGGTCGCTGGGCGCAGTCCAGGAGCCAGGGCGAGACGGCAGACGACACGCCGGCCGTGAACGACGAGGAGATGCTGAGTGCCTACTGCGAGACTTTCGAGACCTGGTTTCAGGAGCTGGGCTGGAGCGGCAGTGCTCGTACGCCAACGGTGCCGAGGATCTTGTGTTTGCTGGCTCGGACGAATGCGTCGGCAGCTGGAACCTACTGTCCTCCAAGGGTGGCGAGATCGAGCTGAGCAATCTGAGCCCTGAGGAACGAGGGCAATTCAGGGCTTCCGACGGCGCCGAGTGGGAAGTGCTGAACCGACCAGGAGTCCTCAGGGTGCTGTCTCTAGCCGAGTCTCAGCACGTGATTCGGACTAAGCCGGACAGAGTTCTCTCCTCGAGGATGGTTCGAAGATGGAAGAATCAGGAGGGCACGTTCAGTGCCAAGAAGGCCAAGAGCAGGTGGTGCGTCCATGGTTTCCGAGACCCTGACACCGAGCAGCTGATCACCTACTCTCCGACACCGCAGTCAGAGTCGATGATGATATTTGCGGCAGTCTTGCTGTCTTGCGACATGGATCAAGCCATCGTCGACTGCAAGAATGCCTTTAGCCAGTCTCGTCCGTTACGCCGCTCTGGGGGTCCTATATATGTGGCACCCTGCGAGGGTCTTGCTGGAGCTCATGTCCCAGAGGGTTGCTTGATCGAGCTCAAGGTAGTGCGGCCTAGACGACGCACCCTGGGAGTGGCACGTGACGCTCACCACCTACCTGTCCGAGCTCGGCTTCCGCAAGCTGCTTCTTGAACCCTGCTACTGGACCAAGCGCGACCACGGGCAGCTAGTGGCACAGGTGTTGATCGAGGTCGACGACCTGTGGATCGGGTCCACTCGCAGTCTCACCAAGTGGCTGCACGAGAGTCTCCAGAGCCGCTTCACCTTTGGCGAATGGCGAGGTGACGAGGCAGAGTTTGCTGGCAGGCGGGTCCGCAAAGAGCGTCGCCGCATTCGCATCGACCAAGAGAAGTACATCCTAGAGGAGCTCAAGGCCGTTCCCCTCGATCGTGGACGACGGTCTCAGCGTCATAGTCCGCTGACGCCGGCCGAGTTCACACTTCTTCGTTCGGGAGTCTACCGCTTGAACTGGGTGGCCAAGGAGTCCCGCCCGGAGATCTCGGGCGCCGCTTCGATCTTGGCGAGTTGTCTGAACAATGCGACCATTGAGGACGTCCTGATACACAACAAGGCGGTACAGCTCATGAGGGACACAGCAGCCCAGTACATCACGATATGGAGGCACGACCTACGCCACGTGGTGGCCATGACTGCCAGCGACGCCGCTGGGATCGGTGCGGAGGGACCGGTCCAGAACGCTTGGCTCGCTGGGATTGCCGACCCTCAACTAGCCAGTGGAGCGTCCACTCGCGTTTCAGTGTTGTCTCGGAGGTCTGCTCGGATGAAGCGTGCAGCCAACTCCTCCCTTGCAGGAGAGGCGCGCTCACTGTGCCAAGCAGTCGCCGAGGCCGAGTGGATACAGTTGATCATTCGTAATGCCATGTTCGGTGAGGAGCCATCGAGCGACTGGCGTCAAAATGTAGGTCCGTTCGTTTAGTCTTGCGCAGCTCTTGCGAGCTGCAGAATCCGCATCCTGGAGCGCCGTCTTTGGATGCGAAGTCTATTTTCGACACTCTTTCGGAAGAACTGCGCCGGCCGCAAGGAGGACCGACGCACCTCGGTGGATGCAGCCATCGTTAGAGACTCCTTCTCGGCCCGCAGTTCCTGTGCCAAGTGGGTACCACATCTTTTGAACCCCGCGGACAGCATGACGAAAGCAGATGTGGCTAAGTTTTTCAGAGGCTCTTGCTCACCTACTGAGGACCG